TGGATAGAAAGCTTTCAGATTGCCATCTTTTATACACGTCTGGCCTGGATTTACAGGTTTTGAGAAAACAATCAAACCACAAACTGAAATCATTATTAACATATCAGAACCTCTAAAAACCCCGGGACCTCGCTACCCAAATATACAACGACGATAAATATTTTTTTCTTCCCGTTTTTCTTGCTTGCTTTTCTAAGCACAAGGCGCAGGCCTTCCACGGAGGGGCCGCGGGGTGGCTGCCTGCTGAATGAATGGTGGGGGGGGGCAGACACAGAGGAGCCGGTTATGACCTGGCTCCTCTAAGGAAGGCGTTTTCTTTTCTCTGCAAATGGAGCTGCTGTTTGTTTGAAGAAGGAGAGCTGTGGGCACGGAATTAGGGGGTGTCATGCGGGCTGCACGTGTGGTGGGAGCTACCTGAAATCTGCCGGCTAATCACTCCCAGATGCAGTCCCTCCCCCAGGGACTGCGGTCCCAGGAGCCTGAGTCCCCCCCAAGCTGCTTCTGGGGGCTGGGATTTAAAGGGAAAGAGAGCAAAAGGTGTGTGCACGTGGACACGGCTCTGTGATCTCTGGGGACTCTGAGGACTCTTGCGATGCCCCTTACACCTTTGTCAACCAGAAGCATTCGGAAAACAAAGTCAGCCACTGCCACCCCGTCCTGAGTCCCTAATTCCACACTCAGATCTATTTGGAAGCTGTGGAGGAGAAGGCGAGGCGGGGGAAATGAGAAACAACAGGGGGAGAAACACTGGCTTTAGGAACAATTGAATGGGCTTGAGGGTGGGGTGGGTGGAGTTCACTGCTACAGGTCTTTTTTTTTTTTTTAATCTTTATTGTTGAAAGTATTACATAGGTTCTCCTTTACCCCCCATTAACCTCTTCAGCCCCCTCCCATCCCCCCACCCCATTGTCTGTGACCATGGGTTATGCATATATGCACACAAGTTCGTTGGCTGATCTCTTCCCACCCACCTTCTCCTGCCTTCCCTCTGAGGTTCACCAGTCTGTTCATGCTTCTAGGTCTCTGGGTCTATTTTTGATCAGGCGGGTCTTCATTAGGGATGAACTGTCTTCGTTCGTGATGAACTGTCTTCGTTCGTGATGGACTGTCCAGGAGCCACAGCTTTCTGCTGCTCATGGGTGGGCCTTGCTGCTCAGAAGGGTGGGGCGATGCAGTGAGGGTCAAGGATGGGCATTGTCCTCCAGCCAATGGGCAGCCACCCATGGAAGGAAGCGGGGTGTCAGCTTGGGGAGGGAAAGCCTCTGGCTCGGCCTCCGTCTGGTCTGTTTGGAGCCTGTATTCCCCCTGCCTGTCCAGGGCCCCGCGTCCACTGCCATCACACGCGTGGTCCCCGTCCCTTTGCCCCCATAACCCGTGAGCACCTGGACTCACTCATCGCGGTGCCACACGGTTCCGACCGAACACGAGGGGCGTCAGGCGAGGGGACCTTGGGGTACACACCCTAGCCTCTCTCCGTCCCCCGCACACACACATCACTCCAAACCACACGCATTCCCCTGCTCCTGTGCTTTCCCACCCATTGCGGCAAAAACAATCCTGTTGCAATTGAATATTGCTTCCTGCTGCTTCCTGCCTCTGCTTCCCCAGTGCCCTCGCATCTAGGTATCGACTCTATTCTCTTTGCTTTTCATGTGCGGACACAGGAGCCCTGCAAGTAGCGTGGAGCGTGCTCAAGGCCACGCCGTTGATGGGAGAGGCAGACCCAGCCCAGAGCTGGGGTGCGCGCCTGCCTCCCCCGTGGCACATGGCACTCCTCGCTGCTGTCCCCAGGAGCTCTGGCTCCAGCCAGCCCACTCCCCCACGTTCCCATTGTTCTCCCTGCGCTCCGGCTGGGCTCGGGCTCCTTTGTGGGTCACGGGGAGAAACTGGGGCTCCGTGCTTTTGTGAAGCGTGTCTCTGATCTTATCGCCTCCCTTCTCTCCTAATCAGGACTTGGTTGCCTGGGTCTTGAGGAGCCGAGAACAGAGCGTGACTTGAACCAGGCACGGCCAACGTGTCTTCCCTGCTTTTCATGTCCTCTCGTCTGCCCAGCGGGGTTCGGCGCTGGGTTTACGGCCCTGGTGCCTTGACTGACTTGGTTTCCCCAGGATGCACTTCACTCCAGTGTGTGTGGCGGCTTCTTTCTTCTCTGGGTTACGCGGCAGCCTTTTTACATCTTGATGGAGGCACGTCCGGATTTTCAAAATGACTGTGTTCTACCAACCAGACCTGGGATGTCACCACCCCCGCAGACTGGAGACGTCCTTGGGGCCCTCCTCTGTCGCCCCTCCCTCTTCTTTTCTGCTTCTTATTAGTAAGAAGAAATGTTTGCAGAGCCCTGCCTAGGCGCTCGGCAATTTGCAGAGGGCTCTTAGCCTCTGTGTATCACCCGTCTCTCCCCCAGAAAACCTCCGCGGTTGTTCTTATCCTTCCCCCCATTTAGCAGATGAGAAAACGGAGGTTTAGATCGGTTAATTCACCTGTCCACGCTCTCGGTGTTAAGGGGCAAAAACCGACACTGACAACAGCAGCAGGGAAACAAGGAGACAATGGCTGCCAACTCTTAGATGCTTTATGCTTAGAAGACCGAATGGGCTATGCCGTGACCATCTGTACTCCCCCGTGAGGGAAGCTATTTACCTGTGGCCTTACTTCTTTTTGGCCTTATGTCCTTTGGACTCTATGTTTTATGGGGCGATGTTAACTCACATTTGGGAGGGACAGTCCCCATACAAGATTGTCAAGAGAGGATGCTGAGTTGGGAAGGAGAAGAGGGGGCTGTTGGGAGTCATCAGACCCAGTGGCTGTCTTGCATGTGGCATAGGCCATGGCTGAAGGGCTGGCCTGGTGACCTCAGGGACTGTCTGCCCCTCCCATGGGGGGCTGGCTAGGGGCCCTTAGAGCCATCCCCCCTCTGCCCAGACCCCCGATGGGTCGCCTGACACCGAAGGGCCATGGAGGGGAAAGACACGCTCTCTTGGGGAGGAGTCAAGATGAGAGCCCTCTGGTTGCCACCTGGTCTGAGTGGTGACAACTCGATGGTGTTCAGCACGAGGGGAGAGGGCTGGGATGCTGGTTGAAGGAAGGAGGAAGCTGACAGGGTGGGCATGGGGGTGGCTGATGAGGCCGATGTCCTGTCTACTGTTCTTGAGCCAGATTAGAACTCGGCTGGACTCAGTCTTGTTTGCCCATTAATTACCCTTGTATAATAGGTTGGGAAAAAATGAAAAAGGGGTGGGGTAAAGGCAATTGCTAGGGAGAGAAGAGTTCAAAAGAGAAAGGTCAGTTAGATTAGTAGCGTGTTTTAGGGCCGTTCCCCGAGCCCGGATGCTCTCAGGGGAGCCGGGGAGCCCCATGGAAGGAGAACAAAGGCAGATTCACACGCCGGGTCTCCTGCCTCTGGGAACATGCAGTGCCTCCTAAGGATGACACGGAGCCCTTTAAAAACGCCCCGCACATTCACCCCACAAGCATCTCACAAATGCTCTGAGAGGCCTGACCCCTCGCGGGGCGGCTCCCCCAGGTGACCGGCTCAAGGGCACCTTCATTCCTGAATCTGTCAGGCCACACCCTGCGCAGGCCCCTGTCAGTCTGCCCTTTTGCAGAGAAACGCCACTTTGGGGACCCGACTGGGAAAAGGGAAAGCCACGCGTCCGTGCCACATAATCAGACGCTCGCCTGGGCCGTCCCGGGTCTGCCTGCCACTGGTCACAGCTGGTCTCTCACTCTGTGGCCACGGAGGTTTCCATGGCCGTCATGAAGTGCTTTGTGTATTGGAAACTGTGAATAAAAAGGTAAGGGGAGGGGGAGGAAGGCTGCCCATCAAGCTCACCCAAACCCTCAACCTCAGACTCTTGGAAGGAAGCAGCTGCCCGAAACGGTCCCAGACGGCAAACAGACGGTCTGCAGGGCGGGCAGGGACGGTCCCAGTCCCGGTCCCAGAGGCTCCGCTGGCTGCCACCGTGGAGGCCTTGGCTGCCCCGGCACAGGGAGGAGCGTGCAGATCCTTTTTAAGTTTCTGAAGGCAAGACGCTTCCTGCCTGCCGCCCCCTCACCTCGCTCCCTCTACAGAGGCTGGCCCTGGCTGGGCTCCTGGCTGACCCCCGGGGAGCCAACCCCAGCCTCCCTCTCGCCAGCCCTCACCTCTCCTGCCAGTGCTTATCTGGGGGAGCAGGAGTCCTACCTTTCAGATCCCCCCGTTCCTGAAAGAAGGTATTGTTATTGTCTCAAAACTGCCCAGGTCAGGAACAAAGGCGGGCCCTGGGTCTTCTTGAGGCGGGATGCGATGGAATTGGCATTCCTCTGAAATGGCTGGTTATTACGGCCCATTTCTGCTAACAATTACCTGCCAACACCGAAAGGGATCGGACTCCTCCGGGCTCTTGTTCGGTTTTCCTCTTCTCTCTTCCTTTCTTTGCGGAGCCTTCAAAAAAAAAAAAAAAAAACAACAAAAAAAACGGTGCACATTGGAGTTGAGATTTAGACAGGTCTAGTGTACTTATCGCCACGACGCATGTGTAAATCTGACTGGACAAACAATTATTTTCTATGGGTGTGGTGTGTGTGTGTGTGTGTCCCTTCTTGGAGAAAAGAAGATAATTTCTTTCCTTTTACAATCCAGTGTCTCTTCTTGAAAACGGGATTGTAGGAAACAGAGAGAGAGTATGCTATGGTTTGTTTCCAAGTAGATTTAGTGGTGTGTTTTTTTCTCTGATTTGAGCAAATGCCTTGCACATAACCGATGCTCAGAAAGCATTTGTTGAAAGGAATGGCACCTGCCCGGCTTGATCTGCTCAAGTGGAAGGAAGTTGGACAATACCCTGGAATGGCTTAGGGCAGTGGTCGGCAAACTGCGGCTCGAGAGCCACACGCGGCTCTTTGGCCCCTTGAGTGTGGCTCTTCCACAAAATACCATTTTGTGGAAGAGCCACACTCAAGGGGCCAAAGAGCCGCATGTGACTCGCGAGCCGCAGTTTGCCGACCACGGGCTTAGGGGGCAGGGAAGGTGTCAGGGTTGGTTCAGGAGACAGAAGAATTTTGAAACGAATGCGATGAATAAGCAGATGGTCCGGGCGTTCGGTTAAAACGAAAAGACAATTTTTGTCTCTTTATATCTTCCGGGTAATCATTCTAACTCCGGAGTTCCTTAGCCCAAGAACTCGACCCCTATGTTCCTGGAAACAGTCGTGTGACCTTCTGTACAACACTTCTCAACAAGCCCCCTTTCTCACGTTAAAAACGAGAAGTCGTCTTGTCTGAATGTCCGCAAACGCAGAAGGTGCGCTGACTTGGGCTCCCTAGGGATGCTGACAGGCGCTGGATGGAAGAAGCCAGTCCAACCCGAGCAGCTGGCGGGATCAGCACTGTTGTTCTGAGATCTGTGGCTGATAGAGAAGCTGGGGGTGGCCTGGTGAGGGCCCCACAGGCCGCCGCCTGGTGAGCGGGAAGATACCCCGGGAACATCCCCTGTGGGCCTGACCTGCCCCGGGAGCCCAGCAGACAGCTGAACCGAAAACTCCCTGACAACCAGGAGATTTGGGTGTCTGGGGGTGCACGGAAGCGCCCCGGAGACCTCAGAAATGCGCCAGCCCCTTGAGAAGCAGGTGTCAGAATGTGAGCCTCGCACCCCAAGAGTGCGATTCCTTTGGGTGAGGATGGATTTGACAGCAGATAGATAGGCCTTTGTTTGTTTGTTTCAACCAACGCTGAGGTGTCACCTTCCCCTTTCACCCCTCCGTTCCCACCTCACCGGGTCCCTCGTACAGGCCCCACACACGGATTTTCATTTTCAACACGTAGCGCCCGACTGAGGGATCTGAGATCACCGGCTCAGAAAACGGGAAAGGTCAGTCTGACTAACACCTCGCCTGGCGTCCTGGGATCAGCATCCAAGAGCAACAGATCCGAGATGGGCTGTGTGAGAAAGCCCAGGGGGCAAGGCTCTCTGACGTCACCCAAGTTCAGGACCCAGGGCTTTACCTGACGGGGGTGGGGGCTGGAATTCTCCTGGAAGAACACCAGAGCCAGGCTGGTGGGTTCAGAGGGAACGCAGGGGAGCCCTTTTCTGCTAATAAAAGGAGAAACCAAATAAAACGGAGGGAGTCCAAGAAAAATACAACGCTATTGTTCTGGGGCAGAAGATGCTGGCTGGGAGGCTTCGTTGAGCAATGCCAGTCACACCCTTTCTCTGTGGGACTGCAGGAATGTTGGCTGTTTCCCTGGAGGCCAGGTGGGAGGTGGGCAGACAGGTCTATGGAGATGAGGAGTTCTTGGAGCTGGAACTCTCTGAACATCCCCATGGCCTTGCAGCTGGGAGGCGGACACGGAGCAGCAGGAATGTGGGTTGAATGAGGGCCAGGAAGCAGCAATCACGGTAAGGGACTGGGGATATAGGGGGGCGGGGAGAAAGGTGCAAGAAAACTCGGAAACGGGGGGCGGGGAATGTGTTCCTTTTGTCCTCATCCTAACAGGGGCTTCTGTGTCCTCAAGGGCCCCCTTGGCTCCCGTTCACTAAGCCGGAGGGCGGAGACCGGGGGGAGGTGGCACGTCTGGGGCTGGGGTGCCACGGGAAGCAGGAAGTGCCAGTCATTTCACAAGAAGGCTCGACAGTGGGGAGGGAGCCAGGAAAGCTGGCAGACCCCCAAGGTGGAGTGGGGGAGTCTGGCCTGGCGCGCAGAACCCCCGGCTTCCCAGAGTCCTGTGGGTGTGCCACAGGCCAGGGTTTCTGGCCCCCTCCCCCCCAACACAGCCCTCTTTTCCACCCATGACTGTGTCTCTACAGTGACATGTCAGCGGTGGCCCAACGTCCATAGTCCAAGGAAGGATGAATGTGACTGATGTCTTGGCGTTAGCTTTTCCCAAGAGCGAGCTCTTAAAAATAACTCTCCCGAGTGCATGTGGCTGAGAGACCCCGCCAGCTTATTTCTCCTGTCTCTGTCCCTTGCTCCTTCTCCTTCGATTTCAGCAAGAACCCCGTTTGTGTGGGCACCGATCTGGGACTGCCTGGAACCCCACGTGTGGGAGAGAGGGACGCTGTTGGGTCGGCCACGGTCCGTTTCCTTCTGAACATGCCCATCCTTTTTTGGCGGGGGGGATCTTTGTCTCTTACCAAAACTCTAGCTCCAACTCCCCACACTCAGACTTCTCTCCCTCCACTATGAACGGCGAAGACTCAGTTGGAAAACCTTGGATGCAGAATGGCTCAGAGTCACCCACAGTGCCCGTCTGGGTGTCACAGAAGCTGAGTCCCTCTGAGAAAGACCGTGTCATGAGGGCGCTTTCAATGTTTTCCAAAGAGCTCATCCTTCGGTTGGATTTGTTGGTTCCAGGATCTCTGGACTTAGGCCAAGGAACGTTATTACGGATCTAACCCACAGCGACATCTGGATTCAGAACCTCTGGGTTCTCTCTCCCCACCCCCTCTCTCTCGATCAATTTTCTCTGTGACCTCAGAAAAGCTACACCCCATCTCTGGGCTTCAGTGACATCTCCTATTCAAAGGCGGTTCTTCATCAAAATTCAGCACATACTCATTCTTTCTTTTCTCTCTTCCAAGGCTGGGGGGGCTTCCCTTAGAGACCCCCCAACATGCTCTCTTATGGGGGAGTCTGCTAGGAGTGAGTCCAAAGGAGCTTAGAGTGAGGGAAGGGTTAGAAGTGGCCAAGGTGACAACCCCTTTGCCTTTAAGGAACCCCATGCCTTACCCTAGCCACAGAGAAGCGCTCCTCATCTGTGGGGCACCCACCCTGGCACTTTCGGGGTGTAGGGTTTGTATGGCAGCCACTACGGAAAATCTGTCTGAGCTGGAGGCGAGGGATGAGCCAGCCTGGAATGCTCCCACAGTCACAGCCGTGTTTACAGGAGAGCATATGGATGGAGTTTAGCTTTGATACATTCCCATCACTTTTTACAGAACGATTTTCCAGCCAATAAAAGACATACCTTAACCACTGCCGGCGTCCGAGTTCTGTCTGTCTGTCTATCTGTCTGCTATGGCCCAGGGGTTCCCAGACGACACTCTGACCTCTCCCAGCTCTTTATCACAACCATCCCCACCAGGATTCGGAATTTAAAACCTGAGCACTCAAAGCTGCGGTCTTTGCCAGCTATACGGAAACAGCTCTTCGAGGGGCCCTCGGTTTGGGGGTGTCACCCTTAGTGCTAGGGCCCTAAGTTGTGGCCTCAGCTGTAAATAAGTGATGGGTAGGAACCAGGGCAATGAGGAGGACATATTGTTGGCTATGTTCTCGGCTACAACGGGGTGCTCATGGGTGCCCTCTCTAAAAATACTATTGCTGCGGCTACTGCTGATAATAATAATAATAATAATAATCCTATCTAATAATAGACAAACATGGTAATTGACCGCACCTTTGCTACACCTCCCATTGGCTAATCAGCGCGATATGCAAATTAACTGCCAACAAAGATGGTGGTTAATTTGCATATGTAGGCTCCAAGCGGCAGAGGGAAGACTGAAGGTGAGCCGGAGCAGCGAAGACGGAAGACGGAAGGTGGCTCCAGCTGGAGCGAAGGCCTGGGTCCCGGGTGCCGGAGGAAAACCTGTGCCAGCAGCCAGGAGAAAGGAAGGCCTATTGCACGAATCTCTTCGTGCAACAGGCCTCTAGTAGTAATAATAATATTCCTTGAGTCACACATTGAAAAGCCACTGTTCACCACTGCTTACTCCACCAGGTACCACCAAGCAGCAGGCCTGGATTTCCAGCCTGCTTTTCTCCAACGGGTGACAACACGAGGGCCCTTTGCCTGCAGTTGAGCTGGTGGGAGAGTTCCTGGCCTTTGGTAAGTGCTCGGCACAGGTTCTTCGGGTCAGCTCCATGCCCATCAGAGATCGGAAGGCAACAGGGGCTCAGGGCAATGAAATACCACGTCCAGGTCCCCACAGCTGGTAAGTGGGAGGGTTGGGATCAAGACCCAGGCCTGTGTGTAGCCCTCATCTGGGCTCTGCCCACTCCTGAAAGGGGATGGCGAGAAGCCCTGGAAGCCACCGGAACAACCACTGTCCGTGCTGCCAGTTCCCCGGGACAGGTGTTCTGAAACGTGGGGCTTGGAGGAGAAGATACGAGTCTAAGAGCCACAGGAGAGGGTCATCACTTAAACATATGCCTCACGGGCTGTTACCGTGTGACCCTTGCAGATGTGCTGGATATTTGAAATGTCCTTAATAAAATTATGGGAAACATACAGCGCGATGGAAGCAAGAGGAGCCTTTGCAGAAGGCACGGGGGCCTTTGCCCAGTGACCCCAAACGTAACTGCAGCATTTTCTAGAGGCAGGAGGGAGCCATTGGGGCCGGACACTCTGAGCCCCATTTCTGGCGGCTTGGCCCTGGGAGTCGATTGGCTGGATCCAGAGAGCATCCGCCCCGGGATGGAAGGATGGGTTCCAAGAAACAAAAAGCCCCCTTTTTTCTAAATGTCGCTGATCACCACGTTACATACTGCAGAGGTATGTGTCTGCTGCGAGGTTGGCGGGACCCTGAACGTGACATGTTGATGATACTTCGAGTCTTGCGTGCAACTTTGTTTATACGTTGGGCTCTCCCTCCCAGACCAGGGGAGGGAGCCGCTGCTGAGCCTCCACTGGAGCCTGGGAGCATAAGCACATCATGGACACGCATGTTGATGCTGCTGTCTAACTATGTGAGCCATGGCGAGTTTGGTTAAAGCAGTCGTTCTCAACCTTCTGGCCCTTTGAATACAGTTCGCCTGAACGTGACATGTTGATGATACCTCGAGTCTTGCATGCAACTTTGTTTATATGTTGGGCTCTCCCCCCAAGACCCAGGCAGGGAGTTGCTGCTGAGCCTCCGCTGGAGCCTGGGAGCGTCAGCATGTCATGGACACGCATGTTGATGTTGCTGTCTAACTATGTGAGCCATGGTGAGTTTGGTTAAAGCAGTGGTTCTCAACCTTCTGGCCCTTTAAATACAGTTCCTCATGTTGTGACCCTAACCATAAAATTATTTTCGTTGCTACCTCATAACTGTCATATTGCTACTGTTATGAATCGTCGAAGCAAAGTGCTGTCAGAGGGAGGAAGCCCCCTTTCACACAGAGGCAGCTATATCTCCACGTGCATCTTCCTTGTCAGGGGGTGTCCTGGTCCATAGAGGAGGGGTCACTACGGCCACAGGGACACGAGAGACCTGCTTTGATGTTTAACCTAAGTGCCTGAACATTGTGTTTTTATGTGGATGTTCCTTTTTGTTGTTGTTAATCCTCACCTGAGGATATTTTCCCATTGATTTTTAGGGAGAGTGGAAGAGAGAGGGAGAGACAGAGAAAAACATCGATGTCAGAGAAACACATCAACTGGTTGCCTCCTGCACAAGCCCTGACCCAGGGCCTGGCCCGGGGAGGAGCCTGTCACCAAGGTACATGCCCTTGACCAGAATCGAACCTGGGACCCTTGGATCCGCAGCTGTTATGAATCGTCATGTAAATATCTGGTATGCAGGATGGTCTTAGGTGACCCCTGTGAAAGGGTCGTTTGACCGCCAAAGGGGTCGCGACCCACAGGTTGAGAACTGCTGAGTTAAAGCAAAGCGCTGTAAGAGGGAGGAAGCCCCCTTCACATAGAGGCAGCTATATCACCACGTGCATCTTCCTTGTCGGGGGGTGTCCTGGTCCATGGAGGAGGGGTCACTACGGTCACAGGGACGTGGGAGTCCTGCCTTGATGTTTAACCAAAGTGCCTGAACATTGTGTTTTTATGTGGATGTCCCTTTTTGTTGTTGTTAATCCTCACCTGAGGGTATTTTCCCATTGATTTTTAGGGAGAGTGGAAGAGAGAGGGAGAGACAGAGAGAAACATCAATGTCAGAGAAACACATCAACTGGTTGCCTCCTGCACAAGCCCTGACCCAGGGCCTGGCCCGGGGAGGAGCCTGTCACCAAGGTACATGCCCTTGACCAGAATCGAACCTGGGACCCTTGGATCCGCAGGCCAACGCTCTATCCACTGAGCCAAGCCAGCAAGGGCTGGATGCCCATTTTAACAGTTAGCCACGCTTTATGTCAAAGGGGGCTGTCGGCTTTTGGGAGCTGACACCCCCTCTTGGAAGGGAGAGCAAGAAAGACTCCTTGCAGTGTGTCACCTCCGTGCCATCAGGGCTGAGTGGGAGAAGAGACCAGCCCTTCTCAGGAAGCCGCTGCTGTCGCAGCCAAGAGGGTGCTCGGGCCTCAGGTTGAGGCAGGTTCTCACCGAGCAGCCTAATGTTTGCAAAACAAGCGCAACTGGGATGAAGAGGCTCCATCTGCGGAGCCAGCTCCAGGTTGCGACAGTCTTGGAAGATGCGAGCTGGTGGGAGAGCCCGGGAAGGGGAGGCTGGGCGGCAGGCCTGTCCGGGAAATGTCGGCCCCCTCTGTTCAGGGCCTGGGATGCAGGGCGCTGAGCGAGGAAGGGCTATCTGGCCGGGCTAATTGTCCAGTGTTTATATTTGAAAAGGGATACTACACTTCCAGGATAATTCCCTCCAGCCTCCTCTGGGGCTAAGATTTCCAACGGGCCTAGAATCCCGAGGAGAAATCAGGGGCTGATTACCTGGCCGGCCGGGCTGCAATCACACCTTTCAATACTAATTATCTGCTCCTTGAGTTCAATGACATCGAGCGTCCCGGCGCTGGCTGGGGCGGACCTGGCTCAGTGGTTTGCATCACTGGCTTGAGACAATGATTCGAATGGACAAAGTACCCGCACTGGGCCTTGATAAGCAGGAAATGAACGCTTGTTTGCAAATAAGATTGGGAAATGCGATCAGTTTCTTGTTTGGCATTTGTCTTTGGGTTACGGGCCTGATAATACTAATGCAGAAATAATATGTTAGAAGTCACCAGTGAGGGAGCCTTTTTGTAATGATCTCTGCACTCTGCAACTTTCTGAAGCAACGGCAGGGGCAAATGAGATGTGTTTGCTTGCATGTGTGTGTGCGTGTGTGCGTGTGTGCGTGTGTGTGTGTGTGTGTGTGTTTCTCTGCAAGTATTCTAGCTTGAATGTTTCTTTGCGGAGACTTGGGGAGATGGGTAATGATTTGATAGGATACTTTTTCAGGATCGAGATTTGGTCATAAGCATGGCTTTTCCCTTCACTGAAGAGAAGTTTTACTTCTACTTAGATGGGGTTCACTAGTTTCATAACCAGCTTTGTTGCATACTCATGCCCGGGGCGCACTGCTTGGGGGCTGGGACGCATGCCCAGTGTTGGGGCTCTTGGAGGAGGAGCACCTGGGGGGGTGGGGCGGGTGTGTGTGTGGAGGAGAGGCGGATCCAGGCCAGCGATCTGCCGAGCTGCCTGCACTGGGGTCCATCTGAATGTATCATTTCTGGTGAAGGAGTGCCCGGGACAAGGAGTAAATGTTCTCGGTCTGTAATCTTTTGGGGAATGTTGCTTTCATATCCTGACTCCTTGATCATAAACTAGAGAAGGCTGAATTATGTCCCCACCAAAAAAGATGGTGAAGTCCTACCATCTTTTTATAAATGCTACCACTTATAAAATTTTATATATGAATTTTGAATAACTTTGTCATTTTAACTTATTTAAATGTTTTAATTTAAAACTCACAAAAATATATAATAAAAAAGAAATTTAAAGGAACTTGCAAAAAAAAAAAAAAAGATGGTGAAGTCCTAACCCCCAGGACCTCAGAACATGACCTTATTTGGGAATAAGATCATGACGGATATACTTAGTTAATGAGGTCACACTGGAGTAGGGGGTGGGGACCCATCCAATAGCGTTGGTAACCTTCTGAAAAGGGGAAATGTGGACACAGACACATACAGAAGGAAGACGCAGGGGGGACACCACGAGAGGGTGGGATTGGATTGGAGCAGCTACAAGACCAGGAACACCCGAGGCCACCAGGAGAATGACATGCCCAGGTCTGCAGAAGGATCATGACTCTGCCGATACCCTGATTTCACACTT